CTAAAACTGTAATGACCAAAGAAGCGGTTTTGTTAAAATAATTCTCTTTTCTTTCTTTTTAAAAATTTTTACTTATTCATTTGACAGAGAGAGAGAGAGAGAGAGCATGAGCAGGAGGAGGAGCAGAGAGAGAGGGAGAAGTGGACTCCCCACTGAGCAGGGAACCTGATGCGAGACTTGATCCCAGGACCCTGGGATCATGACCTGAACTGAAGGCAGACGCTTAACCAGCTGAGCCACCCAGATGCCCTAAAATAATCCTATTTTCAATGAAGGTGATTGGACCCTTGACTCAATTTTTAATTTATCAAGCACTTTGGCTCCAATCAAAAAAGGAACCTTTTTTTTTTAAGATTTATTTATTTATTCTAGAGAGATAGAGAAAGAGCTTGTGCGAAAGGGGGGGTAGGGGCAGCGGGAGAGAATCTTCAAGCAGACTCTACGGTGAGGGTGGAGCCCCAGGCGGGGCTCATTCTCATGTCCCATGAGATCATGATCTGAGCCAAACCAGGAGTTGGCTGCTTAGCCATCTGAGCCACCCAGGCGCCCTCAGAAAGGAACCTTTTATCAATGCCAATTATTAGAACAAGTATAGTTACTGGTTACGTAAAAAGTTACCAACACCTTGGTTGTCCCTTTATCATAAAGGACTTGGGGTTACAATTTGAATTTTCAAGTTTTTATTTTAAAGAGGAAGGCTTGGGAGATATTTGAATATACTTCATCCACATTTCAATTTAAATGTTATTTAAAAACCAAGATAATTGCTACCTACTGTGATATACACTTCTGCTTTATGCAAGACTTAATAACAATCTTAATTAGGCTAATTTTAGTCAGATTAATACTTGTGTATGTCAGCAGTAACTACTAAATACCACATACTGCAGGATTTTAATTAACATTAAGGAAAGGCAATACTCCTAGTATAAACATTTTTGAACTGAAAAAGGCTAAAATGAAGTATGTCCAATTATGACAGGATAAATCGCAGTATCACTGATTTTACATTTTAGGTGAATTAAGGTTGACTTTTAAACAGATAAATCTGCTCACATGTAATGTTAGGAAAATACAGTCTTGATACAACTCTGAGCATAGCAAGCCTTTGCCTTTCACAGTTCTGGAAGGTTTGGAGATTCTTTATAGTTGGTACTGTGTTATACTCTTTGATTTCTTTAGGCGATAAAGTCAAGACTGTCCTATCTTGAATCAGAAACCCTTCTCTCGTTGCATTGTTTATGAGCTAGACAGAAAAAGTAAGTTTATTTTTTCCTTTATTAAATTTCTAGTTTGACCAACTGAGTGAGATTTCCCCATCCCTCACTCTTGGCCTGGGCTGTGATTATCCATGTCAAACACTAGGCATTGGCACTGTCTGCACCATCTGCCTCCTGAAACATGACAGTCCCTGGAAGGGGGATGATGAATGTGGAAGAAAGTGGGGGGTCTAAGCAGTAACTGCCTGTTGTAGCAACGAAAGGATTTTTTTTTTTTATTCATTGCAGAGCCTTAATTAGAAATAGTAGTAAGGGGGCATCTGGGTGGCTTGGTCAGTTAAGCATCTGCCTTTGGCTCAGGTCATGATTCCCAGGGTCCTGAGATCCAGCCCCACATTGAGCCCCAAATTGGGCTCTCTGCTCAGGGGGGAGTCCGCTTCTCCCTCTCCCTCTGTGCTCTTTCTCACTGTCTCTCAAGTAAATAAATACAATCTTAACAAAAAAATAAAAGAAATAGCAGTAAGGATTCCAAATTATAATGATAATTTATTTACCTACTATCATCTAACAATTACTTTTCGCTGGTAAGTGGAATAATAATAATAATAATAATAATAATAATAATAATAATAATGCAATGGCCTTAGAATGAGAAGACCTGAATTCAAATGGCATTTATTCTCTTTTAGACCCTTGACCTATTAAATGACAGTTTATTATGATGCTAAATGGGATCTGTATAAGAAGGCGCCTAGGTTCAAGTTCGGAACTCATAAATATTTGTTCACAATTTATGTACTTATATACGCCACTCACATTTTCAAGGCACTTGGGTTCAAAGTGAAAGGAGATTTTAATATTGGACTAATTCAGTTATGTAAATTACTACCAAAAATTACCCTAAGTCTGTGCTTGTATGTCCTGATGAAACTTGTTAATCTTCCATAATCATAAACGGAATATGAAGAACTGAAGCAAACATCTAGTTTTAAAAGATGCATATCATCACACTTTTTTTATATTCCCATAGCAAAATATTATGCAAATAAATGAACAAGTATGTAAATGAACAAATGAATGGAGTCTGGCTTAGAAACAACTGAATTCAGTATTCTGTACTCAGAGGAACATAGCTCAGTTTTTTTTTTTTAATGAGTCTAGATTTTTCTTTTTCCTGTCCAACAAGTCTGTTACCATTCTTGAAGGGGAATATTTAGTTCATATATATGAGATATGTTAGGTAACTCTGCCTAACTTTCCTCCATCCATAAAAAACATACCCCTTTTAAAGAATAGAAAGGATTTTAAATATGTAAGAGTGGAGAATTGTCCAAGAAAAAGTTGCCCATATTTAAAATGAATTTCAGATATCTTATTCTCAGGGAAGACTTCTAATGGAGTTCTTTCAGCAATGCTGTAGAGCATATTTTCCTAAAATGGCCCAATTTAAAAAAAATAGTAATTAAGCATAATTTGGGAGCCCAGACTGGATTTCCATTATACTGTACAAGACTGCTGAAGTTTTTGGCATTTTGCAATATAAATTACCCCCATTTTGTCCTGCATTCATTCTGTTTTAATAGTGTACTTGCTGGGGGTGCCTGGGTGGCTCAATTGGTTAAGCCTCGACTCTTGGTTTCAGCTCAGGTCATAGTTTCAGGGTTGTGAGACTGAGCCCTGCATCAGGCTCCACACTCAGCACAGAGCCTGCATGAGATTCTCTCCCTCTCCCTCTGCCCCTCCCCATGTGGGCACTCTCTCTTTTTCAAATAAATAAATAAATAAAATCTTTAAAAATATAGTGTGCTTGCTGAGGGCATGTATGATGTCTTGCTTTTTGTCTATATCTTGAAATAGTGTTGGGCATTCACTAAATATTGGTTTTAGAATTTTTACACTGGCAGACCAAAAAGCACTTTTTAAGACTTAAGGATTGTCAAAACCTAGTAAGATTTATAGTTTGCCTAAACCAATTACGATAAATAATGTTGGGGTCAGAGGCTTAAGAACTCAATCAAAAAAGGTTATTTGCTAAAGACCTCTGTAATTGGAGATAACAACATATACTGAGGTAAGTTTAGTCACTTTGAGTTCTTTCCAAAAACAAATCTACCCTGTGATGTGATCTGAGGTGATCTGGTTGATGGCTTTGGTAACAAGAAGCATGCTCCCTAAAAATAACTTCTACAGAGAAACAGCCCCAAAAATGTAATAATGGGTTACTAAAAGGCCATATGGTCTCCACTGATCTCTAAAAGAGAGGAATTAAGAATAAGAACAGGTTAAATAAGAGAAGAGAATCTTCTAGATGTCTGACCCTATTTCAACAGAGTTATTTCTCAAGAAGACCATAAGACATTAGGTTATCATAATATGATATTTCTAAAGTGTTTCAAATTCCCTTTGCTTTCTGTTTATGTCCACCAATTAGACCTGTTCCCTACACATGATGGCTCAATACTAGTTAACATTTATTAGAGCTTTCACTATGTGTCTGGATTATGCTCCAGTCACGGATGTCATCCGGAGTGATTTTGAAAGTCTTCCAGAACAGCGGGACCCCAAAGTGATCGAGGGTATGCCCCTAGTGAACAAAATAAGTGAATTAGAAGACGAGGAAGGTTAGGCTGCTTTTCAGGGTCATGCAGCAGGAGCTCAGCAACAGAGCAGAGGCTGAGGCCCAGATCTCTGACTCAAGTTGAGCGTGGTTTGGCTGTACCAGCACTTGTCCCCTGGTCCATGGCGGTGCCTGAGGGACCTCGTCCAGGCAGAGGCAGAGTGTGAGCAGAATGGACTTCAGCTCCTTCTCTCCCATTGCAATTGGAGAAATTTTATTTTATGGTCTATTGCTTGTGTTCTGAGTACGATGACCTAATTTCTTTCCCTTTCAAAAATGAGAGTAGAGCTTTAGTGGTCCCACCATAATAAGAAAGCAGCAATTATGTGAGGTAGAGGATGTGTTGACTAATCTTATTGTGGTAAACACTTTGCAATGTATACTTGTATCAAATCATCACACCATACACCTCAGATTTCCACAATGTTAGATGTTAATTAAGCTGGAAAAGCAATAAAGCTGGGAAAAAATGCTTTAAATTATTGCTATATACCTTACTTTATGAATAAGTATTATATAGAAACTCTGAATCACAGTACTAATTTTTAGTAAATTTGCTACTGGTTCAGAAGTTAATCCCTCCCAAGCATTATTTTCTGGGTTCATTAACCTGTGTTAATTCTTTTTAAAGATTTTATTTATTTATTTCAGAGAGAGAGAGAGAGAGAGAGAGAGAGAGAGAGAGAGAGCATGAGCACAAGTGGTGGGGGAGGGACAGAGGGAGAGGCAGACTCCCGGCTGAGCAGGGAGTCTGACACGGGGCTCGATCCCAGGGCCCTGGGATCATGACCTGAGCCAAAGGCAGCCGCTTAACCGACTGAGCCACCCAGGCACCCCAACCTCTGTTAATTTTTAAGAACACACTCAGCATTGTCTTAGGAGTAAGGGAAGATAGGCTGCTTGGTAGTACCAGAAATTTCACCGGGTCTTTACATCAGCTGTGTCCTCTGAGGAAGCATAAAAGGATGGGAAGAAAATGGGCTGCTGATACCTGCGTAGAGACTTGAGGAACTGGATGTTATTCTGCTCAAATTCATTTTCTTCCCAATTTGTCAAAATGGGTCTCTTCTCCAGAACATACAGCTAGCTTAGATCTTAGCAGACTTTTTTTTTAATTTTAAAATGTTGCAAACAATTCACTTGAGATGCTAAGTTGTACTTACTAATGCATGCCAACAGAAATGATCCATCTCTCTTCGAGGGAAAGAGGCAAGTGCTGAAATACTCTATACAAGGCGCCAGAATTAATAGTGGTAGGGTGCTGACGACATTCATTACTGCAACTGGCAGAAGAAATCCATCCAAATTCCGGTTGGAATTCATGGTCTGCACATAATATCCTGAAGGAATCTGTATTTGAGGGGGAAAGCAGCCAGGCATTAAGAGAGTGGCTTAACTCTGGAGAAAGAGTTGTAGCAGACGCTTCGCCCCGTGCAAGTACTCTGTGACAGATGATCAGAATGCTCCCCAGATCTTCAACATCCCAATTATGAGCTGACAAAGGGCAGTATGAGCTCTGTTCAGTCTATCGACAATACTGCTGATTCTTTATGGAGGAATCTTTTGTCATCCCGTCTAACTTCTTAATTTTCCTATGGAAAGTAAAGGTGACCCTAATTTTGTGCTTAGGATGACACATAAGAAATCAAATAACTGACTAAAAAAGTACAACTTTGTATCTAAGCAAACAGACTTTTCCCTGAAACAATAAGTTGAAAACCAGTAGAAAGTATTAAGGATGTTTGTTTTTACCCTGATGAAAATCATTGGGGGCTAGAAAAAATCCTTTGTATAGCATCTAGTTTGGTGGCAAAACAGGTAGGAATGATTTTTACTAAGAAGAGGGGCCCAATGTAGATACATAGTACTTGTCATAGGTTGTCTTTGTTGGCTCCTTGGATAGGCTTCACTTCTAAAATGAGACAACACGAAAGAAGAGAAACAAAATATACTTGTGTTTACACTCTTGTTTTAAACTAAGTGTGTGACACTAGTGGACCATCAAGGAAACTGTGTGAAAAACGTTTGCATAATAAACTAACAGATAAGAAATGAAAACCTAACAAACAAAATTCCCCCAAAGCCAAAACAAAGAAAACCGCTATCCCATCCCAAACCCTCAGTGTAGTGTCAGAATTTCTTCATTTTTTAAAATAACCCTAATCCTAACTAAAAGTGTAACCTGAACTTGAGCCTCTTCAAGTATGCCAAACCTCTTGTTAAAAAGCACAGTGTCACAGGAACGAGGGCATCTCTTTGCTTTTCTAATTTGTGAACTTGGTTGCAATCACTCATCATTATCACTCACAGTGCGTAGTATTTCTTTAATTTCCAGTGGAGCACAAAACTGCTAAGTCACTTGGAAAGGAAGTCAACCTGAGTCTTGTCCTTAAGGAATGGATTCTCCAAACCATTTTTTCTTGCCGTGCGTGCACTATGTTTGGATTTCTGCCTTATCGCCATATTGGGAGAGCAGCCCTGCTCAAATATCCAGATGATAACTTCCTGTTTGAGACTTTTCACCAACTCCTCTGTTATCAGTTGTACAATTTGATAGGGTATAAGAAGAGTCAGAGTCGTAAGTATAGTTGTCAACGAGCCCACCACTTGTAAAATGAGCCCCTTGCTGTGTTAACTACCTAAACCCAGGAATGGACTATATCTTCACATTCTATCTATATAAAATTTGTCCTGGTGTTAATTCATCTTCCAATCTTTAATGTGACCTTTAGGATTATAAACAAGGATTGCCTTGGTTGGGTGCAGATGGCAAGACTGAAGGGAACATTAGCTAGTTCTGCCCTACTTCTATAAAATTATTAAGCATGTATCCTCCAATCAGAGGAAAATGAATGATGTTTTTTTTAAAAAAAAGTGCTGGCAGCAGATCCACTCAAAGACTAAAAGGCTCGCAGCATAACTTGGAAGTTTCTGTTACTGATTTCAAATGAGAATTATTGTTAATAGGAATAAAGTTATTATCGGCATGAATCACAGACACAGAAACCTGTTAACTTAATAATGTGGCAAATGTACTATTAATCTTTAGTGAAGCAATATTAATATATTGCCTAATCTAAGAAAAGGCTCCAGTGTCTTGAAAGCTTGAAATCATTTCTGCTTCTGCCTCAAGTTCTGAAATCATCCCCTTTTAAAATTTTAAATACTTTTATTTCATACAAGCCTCTGAGTATTCAGAAATAATTGCTGTCAATAGAGATTCATTTTCACCTTTGAGTGGCCAGTAATGTCAAATGGCAACATCATCCACCTTAATATCAACATATTTTAAATGTATGTCTTGGAACTGAAGGTCAGTAATGGCTACTAAATTTAAAATATGGAATTCAAGGATGTTTTATTCTTGGTACTTTGATCGCCTTTATGCTGGTGATTATTTCATCTGAAGGTAAAAATCTAATTTCAGCCTTATCCCATTGGAAGTTTCTTCTGCCTCCCTTGAGAAGTACATTCTAAATTTTTTCTTTTTTTGGAATTTTCTGGCATTACATTACTGTGTATAATTTTGGAACCTATATGTCTGTATCAGGGATTTTTAACCCAGCTGCAAGAGAGGCATTGTGGGTAATAACAAACTGTGGGTGTTGATAACAGCCATATATTAGCGGGGTGACTGCAAGCAAGTTACAGTTTACTTCATGTCTCTGAGCCACAGATTTAGGATCATAATAACAGCCATGGTAAGTGTGCTATGGGGATTAAGTTAGATACTGTGAAGTCATCTTTTAGGAGTTATGACCCATATAGGTGATCAAGGATTAGTAGCTTTTGTTCTTTGCAATACCTGGGCATCTAGATTTGGTGAGATAGTTAAAATTCAGTTTATTGAAATTTATGGTAATTTATGTCAAATTAAAAAATTTATGACAGTTTGCAGAAAAGACTCAAATTTAGTCAAAAGAAATAGCAAGTGTCACTGCATTACGAAGATAGAGAATCAGTAATTTGTGCTATTTGCACAGAAGGTTCAAGGCTAGCTACGGACTACTTAGTAATTTTGTCCTTATTATTAATTTTGCCCTTTTAAGATGTTCTTTATGACTTTAAATATTATATATGGGTAATATTTTTGTGTTTTTGTGCCGGCTCCTACTGTGGAGTCAGGAGAGATGTTGAATCTGCTAAATTAACCTAGCTTTCATGCAGTGTTTACAGCAAGGGTTCTTGGCAAACTTTTTTGCAAAGGGCCAGATAGAAAATATTTCCACATACTGATTTTATTGCAACCACTCAACTCTGCTGTTTTCATGCATCAAGGAGACATAGTATGAGAAATAAACAAGAATGGCTGTGTTCCAATAATACTTTATAAAATATTTTTCTTTTGATTTTTTTCAAGCGTATAAAAATTTAAAAACTTTTTATCTTGCAGGACATGCAAAAAAAAAAAAAAAAAAAAGCAGCAGCAAGCTGGATTTGGCCGGAAGGCAGTAATTTGCTGACCTCTGGTCAGTTAGAGCAAGCATTGTCCTAAGAGTCAGCAGGTAGATTTGTTTTTCCTCTCACTATTATTAACTGTGTGACTTAGCTATCCCTTCCAGAATCACTTAATTTTTCTGAGCCTCAGTTTCCTCTTCAACAAATAAAGTAGTTGAGTAAGTTAATCTCTAAGTTTCTTTTTAGCTCTATTGCTCTGAGGTTTACGAATGTAACTCACTCATTAGCCATCTAAATTCCAAGTTAGCAGCAAATATAGTCCTGAATTTCTTCAAAGACTTTATAGTCACTTATATTTCTTCGTAAGTTTGTCTTTGACCATTATCATAGTAAAATTGTTTTTTGATCACATATATTTATAAAAGGTACTTTGGACTTGCTGTTTTACCTCTAATTTCTCCACAGCATAGGGACTGATTCACCAAGAAACTAAGGGTGGGTGGGGAAATAATCACTTGTTCATTAGAACATATACTTGAGTACAGGGGGTGGTACCTAAATCAGTCAAGTTAGCTACATGTTAGTACTAGATTTTAAAGGTTTAATGAAGGAGGAAGGCAAACCTTTGGCTGAAAAAAAGGTTGGATAATTGCTCACAGATCTCATATTTTTGTGCATTGCTCTTATACCTTGTGACTATGCACTCTGAAATATCGTCCGCATCTTCTGAAAGACATTTCCAGTTTTACAGGAGAAACAACACACTGGGTTCTCCTCAGGTATGTTTTGCCTGACCCCACTTGTCTCTTGAAATTAGAGCCTGTAATGATGAGAAACATTTATAGGATAACTGCCTGACAAAGTGTACGAGAAGAGTTTGATGGGGTGAAAATAAATATTTATTTGTAATGTTCACATAAAATCATTTTATTATTATTGGGGCAGTACTCATTACCCTTCCTTACCTGCATAATGCATATTCTGTAGAGGAGCTGAAAAATGAAGAGAGGGAGAAGGGTGAAGAAAAATTTTGTATCTTCTACGTGGAGCTCACTATAGCAACCGCCATTTTTTTTCTTGGCATGGTCTAACCAGCTTGTCACATCTCCAGCAAGACGCAATAGCGCAGACAGCATATTCTCAGTGCATTAATAAACACACCAAAGGTTGTCAGGAGGGAGCAACCTGCAAATAATTCGAGATATTATGTATTAGTAAAGGAATTGTTCTTCAATTTTCCGAGATGTCCATCAGAAAGATGACAATTGCAAGGATGAAGGACAGTAAAGTGACTGAAAAGGTTTTAGTACCCAAGAGGCTGAATTCAAAGGAACATGCTTCTGACAAGGGTTCTGGCATCCTGGTGACCAGCCCAAGGTAGTGCCTGACAGCTAATGTAAAAAATGAAAAAGGTAAGATCAATGGGAACATATTAAAAAGGAAAGAAAGGTGACAAAATAAAACACCAAAGTAAGAAATTCCACAATCTCTTAGAAGTCTAACTCATTAGTGAATAAGACAAACAGAACTTTATTTTACAGTCTTAACACAAAGGACTGGTACTATTTCTTAATATAAACGGTTAAATAAATAATCCTCACTTGTCAGGTAGAGGGTGGTTTCTTATTTTGACATGGAGATGAAGCGTGATATATTCTCTGCTTTGACGTTATCCTTGAATTTCAGACGTAAAGTTAAACTTCGAACTCTTCAAATGACTTTATATGTGTTGATAGTGTCACTAAAAGTTGAGATTGGATTAGCTGGCTTTTGACTTTTCCAGTAGATTCCTCTGGGTTTATATGGCTATCACTTAAGCATCCGAAGCATTTTATTGCTTCAGATGTTAGCAGTCACTTACTGCTTGTGATTTGCAACCTCACTATTGCTTCTTTTGTGATTTTTCAGATTCCACCTTTTCTTTGACTCCATTAGGACTTCCTGATACAATGACAGATAAGGGACCCCCCCACCACTTTGAGTTAGCAGTTCAGCTGTGCCACCATAATTGTTACAATTTTTCATAGTATCCCTTGACCAAATAAATCCTTCCACAAATTACATAGACACCAAACCATGGTTGTAGGATAAATGGTATAATAAATGTAAAAATGTTTGAGTTTCTCCAAGGAAGACCACTGTAGAAATTCAAAGTATAGTCTGATGGTCATTTTGTTTATGTTCAAATTTCCCATAATAAAATTCTCCATGAAATATATTCTAACCAAATTCATATAAATGTGATCAAGTATTGGTTTTTATATTTAAATAAAGAATATTTATTAATATTTCTTTTTATGGTTATAGAGTGACTATATTGATTTGATCTCTTTTAAGAGTTGTAATAGACCTATTATGTCAGCCTTTGATTAATTGAAGAAGCTGGGGGCCTGGTAATTGAATATGGAACCTTTCACCTCTAAGTCACTGAATCAAATCCAACCCAAATTGGTAGTGACCAAGAGTGATTATAGCAGTGGCTCTTTGGTGGCCTCTGTGAAGTGTGTTGAGGTCAAGTGGAAGTATGTCAGAATAATTGCATCTCCTATGGGTTCATACCTGTGGTCACTATTGCCTCTCCTTAGTCACTATTGCCAGAAAAGCTCAGGGACTGAGAATGCCAAGGGAACAGAAGCCCGTGTGAGTGGTTGTGTCTCTTAGGAGAGAGGAGGGACATCTTTCTATTATTGCGGGAAGAACTGCCCTATTATGAGACTTTCCTAGCTATTTCAATTAGTTTACTTAAGACTTTAGTAAAATGAGAACTGAGAATGCCCTGATGAACAGTCTGGAGACTGAATTTGAACAGGTCTGGGCTAGGAGGCTTAACTTCCTGACATTTCCTTATGATCTTGTCTCTGTTGCTCATCAGTCTGTTCTCTGCTCAACTTTTGCAAAACAGTGCTGTGTAGATGGGAGGGTTATTACTGGCATTAATCCAACTTACTCTATGCTTTCGAATAGGCTTTATGATGAGGTGATCACTATTCATAGGATGAAGGACTATTTCCAAAGGTATTCTCCCCAATTTCCCCTCTCCTTTTTTTTTAAATTCAGGTGCTTATAACGAATACGTGTTTTGAACCCATCAGTCTGTTTTTGTTTAAGCGAATCACTATTTGTTGCAAGATGAATTATTATCTACTCTTAATGCATGGTAAACTGATACCTGCAATCTTATTAAATAGTTAAATATCTTTATCATATTATTTCTAAAGAGAAATAGTTTAGATTATTGCTTCTTAAACTAGCTGTGTTGAAAAAAACTTTTTTTAAAACGTCTCACAATAAAAAATTTTTAAAAAGTCTCAACCATTATGGCCAATACATTTTTAAAATAACCATAAAATGTAATACCTAAAGAATAAAACAAAGACATATAAAATATAAGTCCTAATATTTTTATTATTAGATTCAACAGACATAGAATCTAACTTTCTGTAAATGTTTCTACATGTTTTCTCTCAGTGTCTGTATTTATTTTGTTGCATATCAGTAACAAACAGTTCATTGATCAGCACTGCTCCATGGATCAGGCTTTGAGTAGCATTGGCTTCAACTGAATACACACTTTGAAAAATGAATTTTATTTAAACAAGTAAAGTTATATCTGATAGGGTGATATGAAACAACAAAAACAAAATGGTTAAGATCAAGAAATGATTGAGCATGAATGAGGTCTAAAATTTTAGCTAGGACAGGGAGGGCACATAATTGATTCCAAACAAATGTGAATAAACAATCATTCATTCATTCAACACACTAAGTACCTACTATGTGCCAAAGGCTTTTAGGGCCCTGAGAATATAATAGTGAACAAGACCCACCAATCCCTGAGTTTTCTTTCTGGTGGGGGAGACACTAAACAAGCAGAAAAATATTAGGCAAGTTCAATGATGAAAGCCAAATGGACTGGTAAGACAGATACTCATTATGGGATATAGAGTATAGAGGGAGCAGAAAGAGCCGAAATTTGAGCTGCGGATTGAATGACTGCAAGTAGGCTAAAGACATGGAGGAAGCATATGCCAGGCATGTCAATAGGGTAGAAATAAGCTGAGGGGCGCCTGGGTGGCTCAGTCGGTTAAGCATCAGACTTCAGCTCAGGTCATGATTTCAGGGTCTTGGGATCAAGCCCCTGGTCAGGCTCCCCATTCAGTGGGGAATCTGCTTGTCTCTCTCCCTCTGCCCCTTCCCCTGCTTATACTCCCTATCTTTGCCTCTGTCTCTCTCTCAAATAAACTAAAATAAAAATCTTAAAAAAAGAAGAAGCTGAGAGGGGTTCAGGATCCTTAAAGGCCAATGAGGCAGTACCTCAGTTAGTAAGAAGATTGGAAGGAGGTGAGGTCCAAAAGTTGGTCAAGGATCACACTTCACAGGCTGAAGTAAGGAGCTTGGAGTTTGCCTTCAGTGTGTTATGGGAAAGCATTAAGAAATTTTATGCAGAGGGGAGATATTGTAGAATGTATACATTTAAAAAGCTACTCTTGAAGTCTGGTAGTGGTGTGGATAAAAGGTTTTGGAAAACAAGAGGGGAAGCTGAGAGAGGGCAAGCGATAGTGATGACTTGGAATAGTGATAGCAGTGAAGAGAAGTGGACAGAATGGCATGTGTGTTTGAACAACCAGTGGAATTTTATGATGGCGGTGGGGGGTGGAGTTTAAGAAATGAGAAAATTTGAGGATGACTACTTATTTTTCCCTTAAAAATACTGGGTGTTGGTGATATACACTGAGGTGGAAAAGACAAGAAAGGGGCTGGGTTGCAGCTGGGTGAATCAGGAGTTGGGTTTTGGTCAGGTTAAGTTTGAGAGGACCATTAAATAACCAAGTTAAAATGTCGATGCCTGTCTTCAAGAAATGTATGAAAAGTTCTTGTCTTCTAGTGGCATGTTTTCTGTTCTTTTCATTTTTGAGAGCTTATACTTTTTTGTCCTTGTATTTTTATTTTAATGAGGTTTTGAAAGGTAGCATTAAACATGTGTGGTCAATCCAGGATTTGAAGTCTTATTCCTAAATTTATATATGTATATATATGTATATATATATATATATATATATATATATATATATGAAGGGAGAGGGGAGGTAAACTGTGTAGAAATGTTTTAAATTGAAAAATAAAAGTTTTCTACCATAAAAAAAAATGTTGACTAGAAGTTGGATATATGTATGAGTTTAAAGGTGAGGTTGATATGAACTTGAGTGTTTGGTATATAGTTGACATTAAAAGTGGATTAGAGATTACTTAAGGAAAGAGGGAGTGAAGAGATGGGGTCCAGGGAATGAATCCTAGGGCTTCGCATCAGTTAGAAGACTATCAGAGGAGCAAAGAGAAGGACTATCAAGGAAATTGAGAAGGAGTGGACAGTGCGCTATATGGGTTTTAAGTCAGAGGGAAAAGAAGGCAGAGGAGTAGTAATCCTAAATTGATCAGCTGACCTGGGAGGGCATCACAAGCTAGTTGGAGAGGGCAAGAAAAGGAAAGGTACAGTCAACGGCCTGCCCAAGGAGAGCAGCAATTGCCCCATCAAACCGGGGAGTTATCCCTGAATGTTAGGAGAGATACCCTGTTGAAAACATCTCCATCTAAACATCACACCACCTCTGTGGATTAATCCATAAGACTTAATAGAAAATTCATGCCTTCTGTACAAATAATTTGGGGTATCATGTAGACTTCTCTTTAAAAAAAAATCCATTGCCATTATAATTTTCAAATTGCTTTTCTGCACCAGGAGCAGAAATGGGAAGTTGAAAAAAAAGAAAGGAATGAAAACGCAACCGAGACTTCAAGCTCTAGTTTAAATGTGCATGGCAAACACACCAGGCGTGCACATTTTAAAATAAAACAGATGAGCTATTTTAAATGTTTTATTGCAAAACTTAAAGATTGTAGCTATTACTATTAAAAAAAAACTTTAGAAAGCAATTTTTCTATTCTTTTACCTTTAAGTCCTTGGCTCTGATGTTCTGCTCCTCTGACCTTGATCTAATCATGAATATCTATGCTACTTAATTATAATAAAAAAAGCCTACATTGCACTCTAGATGGTAGATGCACATTTTTTCTTCTTTGGTCACCTGCCAGTTCTCAAAATTATAGCAGTGGGAAGAAATGCAAATGAAGGCCGTGCTTGACAGCTAAACATAATGGAATGCATGGTCCACATTTGAAAAGTTACC